CTGCTCACCGCGTAGGTTAATGTAGAGGGGGTGGCTCCAGTCGCTCCAGATGCCCGCCTCCTCTGGGGAGCGACAGCGCACCTGGACGCTGTAGTTAAATCCGGCGCTGAGTCCGCTCAACTCCACCTCGGGTCTGCTGGCGCCCCTCACCTCCTGCACGCAGGGAGACACTGCACCAGTAGAGCTCTCTGCACACCCAGTTTGCGGACCCCGTTTTCGCGGGAATCTACGACGGCCTTTCCATTGACCTGGACTTTGCACATTTTAACAGATGGAAAAATTCAAATATGAAGACACTCAAATTTCAAAGAAACACTAAAATATCATAAAAAGTATCTTTGTTTGCTTGAGGTGGTTCTTATGGAGGGTCGAAAAAGAAGTCATTCGCAAAACTGCAATGGAAACAGATATGTAGGTCTTAGAGCCGTCGCCACTCGAACTCGAATTTAATCCGTTCAGAACTCTGGATAGAATCCTAAAAAGTTCGAGTTGTGATCAAATTTTCCCCATAAGAAATAATGGAAAACCAATTAATTGGTTCCCGGCCACAAAAAAATTACACCTAAATATGTTTTTTTTAGCATTCAAACACAAAATGAACCGGATAAAACAAGAAGAGCATATACTGTACTAAACACGTCTAAGCACATTTATCAAAACAGTAATTTGTAAAGTAAGAAAATAAATGTATCCAAACAATGTGTAAAGTTAAAAAAAAAACACAATGTGTCCTGCCCCGATCTTCCGCTCCTTCCATGTGCCACACCCCCTCGTTAACCCTGTGTGGAATCCCCGTGTGATCAGCTGTTTCTAGTTATTGTCATTAGTCCTCTGTATTTCGTCCACGTTTCAGTTTGTTTCCCCAGTCCGGTCATTGTATTGTCAGTCTGCGTTTTGCCTGCCTTACCTGTAATTAAACCCGTATTCCCCGATACCCTGACGTCTGCGCCTTTGTCTCCGTTCTGTCCCCGCTCGGCACAACAATATTATTATAATTAAACATATTAATGGTTCATTATTATAATATTAAAATAATGAATAAGAAATCTTTATTTTTAAATGTATTTTATTATTTTTTTTTTACTGTCTAAATACATGTATTCAGCTAGTGTAAACATGCACGGTGCTATCACAGCGAATGCGAGGCTGAGACTGAAGCGTTACCCTATGTTTCCGCTGAGAGACATGCCGCGTGACTCATTTCCCCGCGCGTACAAGTTATCTTAGGTCGGCGTTCGCGGTTTGACTTCTGAGATTCAGATCGAGCTCTAGGTAATTTTTTTTTCGAACTGGTTGGTTCGACTTTTAAGAAATTTGAGTTTTAATGAGTTCGAGAACTGAGGTACCACTGTATTATTATCATAACATCTATTAATGGAAATACATCGTATTTGCAATTTAACTCTGCCGACTTATAATTTATGCAATGCAGCCTTGCGTAGACATTTGGGACCAGGATCACTGGACACAAGTCAATTTGGGCGTATCTCAACATTGTAGTTGTCCATCATAAATACATTACTGTATGTATACTGCATTACAAGTTCGATATGGACAGAAGGCTGGCAGCACTGCCCATTCTCCTGTACTGGTTACTCTAAGCGATACACCTGTTAATGTCCTAATACGTCCACTTTCAGGTGTCTCTGGATCAGTGTAGATTATTTACTATGGACCTCGGATGTAAACGCAATCAGATGTGACTATCAGCCATGACTTGATGTAAGAGTATAATTTAACAGAACCACGGTTTATGGGTCGTCTGTACAGGCAGTAAGAACTCCAGCTTGTCCGCCCCCCCGTCTCAGTAAAGCTGTGATCCGGCCTCTCAGAACCGCAGCGTGCACCGGCAGTGCAGCCTTACCAACACAGTGTGGCCGGACATCTCCTGGGCATGGCGGACGTCGCAGCTGAACTGGCCGCTCTTGGGCCGCTGTGTCGTCCAGCCCAAGCGGACTTCACCCTCGGCGGTCATGGTGTGATGCAGGTTCTCTGGGGGCACCAGCGTCACTGTAAACCGTACATCGGGGCTCCATCAGTTACCAGTCACAGGGGGAGGGGGCATCTACCCCAAAGCAGAATTACAGCAATCGCTAGGTATCAGTTCTAACAAATGACCGCTGCTATTTTTTAAAAACCTATACCATTGTGTTTAATGCTATTATGAAGGATATACGATTGCACTACTGCACTTTGGTCCACTATTCTGCAATATACTATACATCTATATTATGTATAATGCTATTTTTATGACGTATAGCATTGGTGAAGAAAGAAAGAGTTTTGTTGTATATTAAATTTTTTCTAGTCTATTCTTTTCTAATCTCTAACTACATATACAGTAATTCTGACGAGTTTATCTGCAGATGCTTTACAGAAACATTTCAAAACATATCTTTATGACTTTTCGTATTTATTGCAATGCTAATTACAGCTCATTGACTCTTTCCCCGAGCCGAAGGCTACAGCGACCCCATAAAAACAGAGAATCAAAGTCATTATTCAGCAGAATTAAGTTTCACCCTATGAAATTTACAAGGCTTTTCAGCAGCTTACGATGCTTCTGGCCAGAACCATGGGATTTAAGGAGAAGGAGCTCTGGGAGGAGGAGGTAATGTGTACAGTCCAGAGGCTCTGCGGAGGCCCCCCGGCTCGGACATGAAAGGCTAAGAAGGAGCGGAAGGCAAACACACGTCTGCCTGTTTCCGGAAGCCTCCGACATATCGCCATGGTTATAGAGCCGAAAGCAAACAGTAACGCGTGTCTGAGCTCCTAATGCCTCCAGTGGTACATGGTCCCCCCCCTCCCATCGGGTCAAAGAAGTCACTTCATATGCCCTTAAGATAAAAGTAATGGGTGAGTGAGGTGAGAGAGCACAGTATGGCTCAGCCATGGTGAAGAGAGTCATGTGACATGGTGATGCGAGGGCGTTATGCTATGGGGGGGGTGGATTTAACAAAGCAGTGGAGAAGACTGTAAAACAGGGGTGGGGGGCCGGAGCCCAGTCTAGCTTAGTTCTTTCCCTGCTTCACCACAATTGATTCAGCTCAAGAGCTGTGCTGTAATTAGCACAAGGAGTTGAATCAGGTGTGTTAAATGAGGGTAAAACAAAAACTGTGCAGGGCTCCGGCCCCCCAGGACTGGAGTCCGACACCCCTGCTGTAAAACAAAGTCTGCGATTTTGGCGGAAGGACAGAAACAGGCACCATGTCTTGGTTGGATCTGCAAGCAGCAGATATATAAACCCATATAAAAATGATAACAGAAAAAAAGCATTAAAAAACAGGATAAAAGCACGTGTGCGGTGAATGAGCTTGTCACATGACTGCCCCCAGCACATGATCCAATCCCCGGCTGCAAACAACTTACGCAAAGCTCGCGGGACGAAGCGCATGGCCGGCGACCACGCAGAACCTGTGCAGCTGGAGACGCTGACCGTCAGGGTGACCTCACCATCGAGAGCATGCAACGCCGACACGCACGTAACAGAGTCAGATCCCTCACTCCTGCTGGCTTCACACACCGCACCCAGCCCTGATCTGGGGGGGGGAGAGAAAATGGACACCAGACAGAAGGAGACTGTCAGGGACTGAAACGGTACCACCAAGAGCTATGTAAACTTGACAAGGAATGTTTGGCAAGCTGAGAAGTCATCATCTGATCCAAGATTAACTCCTGATGGTCATGGTTGCCAAAAGTTAACAGCAAATCAGTTTAGGACCATGCCAAAATTTACTGTTACCTTTTACCCACTCTCCTGGTTAATTATACCCCAATTAAAGCTTACACTCATCAGTCATTGTAAATAATAAAAGTTATGGCGTGTGACGGACAAAGGCTTTGGATGGCAGGCTAAACGACATCGCAAGTTCGCTACGGATCCTAAGTACTTATATCACGCACAGAGCCCAGCGATACGTATTAGGAGACCCTACTTAAACTTAAAGTACTCACGGAGAATCCTGCGAGCTCACGGACAGAACCCCGGCTCCGCGCAGGTTCGAGGGCCACTCCAGGTTACAAATTAGATTTGCCGCTGTCTCGTCTATCCAGCACAGGATGTTCAAGCGGGTGGCTGCAAAGAGATTCAATTAACACGTTGGCCCCGGCGATGTTGACGGTGAAACCGAATTAACCGAGTTCAAGGTAATGGGGCTCGTTAGTGAGCTGGCGTGGCGATCCCCAATTTGAAGGTTTTAGAAGGCTGACGGCAGATCTGCAAAGGGCAAAAATAACAAATGGGGCTTTTACACTAATGTGTCTTTTTTGGCTAATGCTAGCCAAGCCAGCCCAGCTATAATTAACCTAATTAAACCAATGTGGGCAGGTAATTACAATCCATTGACATGTTTACTACCATCCTCCTACCTAATGAATGCACACCTACATCAAAGATGTAAAACAAAGTCGAAATCAGCCAGTGTTAATATGTAAAAGTCACTCTGGAGCTTTTGCTAAGTGGCTATTTATTTGTGTTAAATATTTTACTTTAATGCTATTTAGCTGCTTAGCATTTTTATTGAGGCTGCTCATTAAAGTTTAATTAACCTGTTAAAGCAGACAATAGCTGAATCCTTCAGAGTAAAATAAACGGGTGTTTAATGAATGAGTATTCAATGAGTATTAAACGAGTACCTCTGGCATCGTGGGTGTCATTAGTAAACAGTGGTAGACGACTGTAGCTGGTCACATGACACCTTGTGACATTTGTTGTGTTGTGTTGTGTTTTTATGCTGTAGTTCCCTCTCTGGCCAGAAACACAGTCCCCATCCGGCCCATCTTCTGTACGGGCCGTGGGGAGGTCACACCAGAGACCGGCCTCCCACGTGGAGCCCTGCATCTGATTGGACGAGGCAGAGATTCTGGCTCCAACACCTGTAGCCCGAAAACAACAGTCACTAATGGTTAATAATCATGTGACTGGTGAGGCTTGTCAAGGGGGGTCAGCATCGGGGTTTGCCAAGTCAGTGCCCCCTCAGAAGATGGCGCCCTAGGCAGCTGCCTATGTCACCTTAGGATGACTGGCCCTGAAAGCAGCAGTGGTTCTGTTCTGTTGGAGCATCATCCAGGAAGGCCCTTATTCCCATCTCCATGTGTTTCCTCAGCCCAGAGAGATTACAGATGAAAAGGAACATTTCATAGAACAAAAGGGTCATTATTCACACCCTTAAACTTTACCATGATTTTATATGGAACTCTCTTCCAAACAGGGATGCTGGCTTGTCCTGCTCTCTGAGTCCAAGGTCCTCTCTTGCACATCACTTTTACTTGCTAAATAATTAAATAAAATGTTATGCTACATAAAACACTCGTATCATTGACTCTAGACACCACACCTATAGAACGATAAGCTAATTAGAGAGATTCTCAGCACACTTTGGGTCCTGATACTTAGCCAGATACTGGAGACCAGTGACTGGGTATTATGAACTGGGATGAATTGGAAGTGGACTGTGGAACAGATCATTTGTAATGTTCAGAATGGGTCATCCAAGGACAGAAGGTGCACCCCCTTCTACAAAGCATCATGCGGTCCTGCACAGGCTCAGCTCTAGCTTTGAATTGTTGGGTGGGCCACAGGAGCGTCGTGGGGGGGTGGCGGAGGATGCAGGCAATATAATGTGTCAAAACGGGGGGGAGTGTTCCATTGTTCCCAAGGCAGGATGGGTGGGGCAAGCTTATGATTGTGGAGCTGGGCTAGACCCTCCTTCTGAGTGTGCTGGGGGGGCTGTTTTCCCAAGCCTGCTCAAATGCAAGTCTTGGTGGGAGGGGTCGTACTGGGGAGATGCGTCTGGAGTGAGCAGACCTCCATAAGGGGCTTCAGAGCTGATCAGGGCTGCATTCCTCCTGCCTTAAGGTTTCAGGGGAATCTAACCCCTCGTGCCTGTGATGTCCTGGGCTAGAGCTGCTCAAAAACTGTGAAGTTTTTGAAAAGTTTGGCACTGCGCATAACTGATAATGCCAAGAAATTCCATGCATCCTGTCCGTTTTCCATAACCGTGCAGGACCACGGTGAGCCTGGCGCTAATCCCAGGAATCCGAGGAATGGCGAGGCGCGAGGCAGGGGATGAGGTGTTAGTCTGTCGCGGGGCACACGCCTAAACCACACGACTTCAGAAGGACATATGAGAAGCTGGAAGAGAGTCTCACACACACACACACACACACACACACACACACACACACAGCTGGAATCATATCTTTATGAGGACCTTATTCATTTCTACGGGAAAAATGCTAATGCTATTTGTTGTTGCTATGAAAACCTTAACCGCTACCCAGCCTTAACCTTAACCATGAGTGTCCAAACAAAATACAAGACACTTATATCTTTTTGGTTGCAGTCACATATACATTATTATCCCCATAATGTCAAAATAACAGAATTTTGGGGGAAATCTGGTCATCTGGTCCCCACAATGTACTAGACACAAAACCCACTCACACATATGCATTTTTAGTTTTTTGATTGCAGTTACAGATTTTTAGAAAATTGAGTTTTGCTTTATGGGGACCAGGAAACTGGTCCCCATAATGTAAAAACATGGGTATTCATCACATCATGGGGATATTTGGTCCCCATCAGGTAAGGTATACCTGGACCACACTAACAAACAGACACACACATGGGAGCCAGAATCAAATCCATAATCCTTGGAGCATGAAGCATGCATGCATCTATCCATCCATCCATCCATCCATCCACTTATTTTAACATATAGCGCCTTTCACAACTTGGTTACCCCAAGACACTTGACTTTACTACATCATTTATACAGAATGCTGCATGAAACAGGGTATAGAAGGGAAGAGTCCTGCAATATATCATGATTTATGTTATATACAATATGATGATGACAAAATAATGAGCTCCAACCCACATTGCCAACAAGAAAACAAAAGTGTGACGGAGAAGCCACTGAAGACTGCAGGACACACCGATGGCCACAAGTGCACAAAGAGGACAGACGAACTCAAGCATGGTTACAACCATCCGAAAGGAGCGCTTACCGTGTGAGGCGAGGATGAGGAGGGGGAGGAAGATCACCATGCCAGAAAAAGCCCTAGAGACAGAAATCACCCTGTTATCCATCCAAATACATACCGTGGCCAGAGTGCAGAAGATGACATTTTCAGGATATCTGGCAATATATCGAGTTTTCCTGCTGCAGAGAGAAGCATTTGCAGATACAGATTTATACAATTTCACACATAATATGAATATTTTAAATATATGTTATACATATATGTATGTGTGTGTGTGTGTGTATATATGTGTGTGTCTCATCCATCTTCAAGCCAGTAATTCCTGTAATATTCCTATAAGTAGCAGTGCATGGTGCACACACACACAAGCACATCATGGACTAGTACAGGAAGAAACCACATTATTCTGAGGAAATCCAGGCAACACCGAAAAAACATGCATACTCCACATATACAGACTAGGGTACAATTTAAACATGAGTACACAGAAATAAACAGGAATATTTACTTTTTTTAAGTTTAATTGTCAATAGTGCAACACCGGGATAGAGTTTAATTGTTATACTTACATAATCTCATTTGCGAGCTGAATTCATCTCTAACTGCAGTTAAAATGCCTAAAAGAGAATTGTGTTACTAAAAACGACATTCAGAGGGCACTTAAGACAGGTTTGCAGAAACAGGTCAAGCACGTGAGAAAGTGGCCCACACCTCCCGTATGCGACACCAGCTATAGTACCGACCGAGACTGGAAACGTCTCACAAAAACTAAAAATAAAAACACCCTAACTCCCTGATTTATTAAACGCGGCGGTCCATACATAGATTGTAAATAAATGCAAATAAATATATATTAAATTGATGTTGTTTCCCAGAGGCTGAGTGCCACAGTCTATAGGTTTTCAATAAAAGGAAGATCCGTTTTCCTCCCCGCTGGTTTTATTATTGTTCCAGGTAGATTGTGGTAAATAACTCGGGCACGGTTTTTGTTTGTTTTTTTGTTTGTTTTTTAAAAAAGAAATCTAAACAATGTTCTTCGCTTGCTGGCCCTGCAGAGTTATGCATATCCCTGGCAATTCTCGAATGATATAACCAAAAATATGATAAAACTGGGCGTTTTCAGTTGAAGAAAAATCAATGGTGCGTTAAACCCATTATCCTCCATTTAAATTTATAGCTAATAAACTTCCCGCTTCATTGTGCTCCGATGAAGAATCACCTGTGCTTCTACCTCGGCACTCACGTTGCTATTCTCAGAAATATTTGGTGATTTGGCGCAGTGGAAAACAATTTGCGCACCATCTGAAAACTGAGCATACAGAATATTTAACCTTAACGCTGACTTCAACATAATTAACACCTGTTGTTGTCACATCTAGCACCTTAACGCTTCAATATGTTATCCAGTTACAATTCAGAAAATTCAGTTGCAAAAATGTACGGCATATACTGTAGGCTACTGCCTTATTTTAGATCTAGACTTAACATGCAGATGTCTCAGAGCTTGAGTTTACTGACAGAAAAGCGTAGCCTACAAACAAAACGAACAAGATACAATAAAAACACAGAGAAACTCATATTTCACTGAGATCTAAGTAATATACCTCTAATGAATGGTGAATATAGTGCAATTTACCAGTTGGGTGTATTAATTAATATTCAATCAATCCAATGTTCTTTTACAGCCCTTTCGGTGATCGCTGAAAGAATATACATCTCCGCATGCATCATAAGACTACAGAGCCCTGCAAAATCTCGATCTGGAGCCAAAAGCACGGCGAATACAACTCAAATGCATGTTGTATATTCATTTGACTAAGTGATACATATAAAGATAAGGAATTAGTGCCAGGCAAGTGGCTGTTCAAAGCCGTGCGGCATTTTCCAGGAAACACGCTTCATATCCATGGAGCATCACTTGTCAAAACAGGTCACTTCGTACTCCGCAGTGACAAAAACAAAGCGTCTCACAGCTGCCTAAAAAATGAATTAACATCAAGAGAGTGGACGTGAATCAAACACGCGGTGGTGAACCGACGGTAATTCATGTGCTGGGCTGCTTACCGAAGTACTCAGAAACTTGGAAGCGAACCATGTAGTTCAAGCAAGCATCAGGCGTAAAATCTGACATACTTTAGTCATTTATCAAATCAACGCTTCTCCCATCTCAGCCTACATAAAATAATAACTTAGGCGCACTGATGCTGACAGATGCGCGTCTGATCGTAGGTCCGCATTTTTCCGATCCAGAAGAGCGAAGCTGTTACAGACTTAAAGCGAAACTTCACCCAAGTTCAAGCTCACAGATATTCTGACATAGCGACACTGTACGAATGCTTTGCATTTCACGTGTTTTCTCAAAGCAATTAAATATGCTCACACATATCAGTACATCGCAGGAACAATAGAAAAAAAATGCCAAGCATGAAGAGAACATTATACTGCACAGTCCCCATAATCCTCTGATTATATAGTCATGGAAAAGGTGAGGTACGGGCAGATATGTTAAGAGACATTAATTACAGTTGTTGCCAGTAAGAAAGCAGATGCTACATTTTGCAATGTGCTTAAGCGATGAGCCAGTTTGCTCCAACTGTATAGTGAGTGGAAATAGTGGTGCGGTTAAACGGCGACTCTTACAAACTATTAAGAAGGAACCGACTGACTCATAAACTGCAGACCGCAAGAATCCGGGGAATCTCGTATACCGCAGGGATACAGGGGGTCTGCAAAATGGTCCCATCGTCTCACATCCACTTCAGTTTCGATTATAGACTCGCAAACGTGGACATCTTTTTAAGGAAAGAACGGACCCCTATCAAAGGTACAACAGGCGTTCCGGGGGAGCTGCTGCCAGTCGCACTGTCAGCAAAACTCATACGGCACCGAAAGCCCTGGTCATTCAGAAGTTAAGTAACTAATTAACACACGGGAAACGTACATTAAAATGTGATAAATACCTGTAGGCAGAGAGGTCTGCTTCTCAGCTGCAGTCTCTCCCTGGTCGTGGCTGCAGAGTGCTGGAGAAACCTGGTGGGTCTGGTGAAATCCGGACAATCAAGAAGCGGGTCTGGAGAAACCTATGTCTTCAAGGAGCGGGTCTGGGGTGAGCTGTAGGAAGCAGGGCGTTTAAGGTGTCGGTCCCGGGAAAGCAGATTGGTTGGGGAGTCGGCCAACAGAACGAAGGGTTAAGGTGCCGGTCCGGGGAAAGCTGAAGGGTGGGAGAGGGTCTGGGGGAAGCAGCGCGCGACAGGGAGAACGTGAAGCCCTATCGTCAGCAACACAAGCCCGACAAGACATGGTGACGTGGTGATGAACAAGGACAGCTTCACTATTAACATCATCGCCAACCTCCCTTTAACAGCGCCCGTAAAGACAATGTAATAACCCAGTTGGCTTTATATTCATCCCCTGAAGCGTGCCACTAAATGCATACGCAAAATATACAAAACAGACTGAGCTTTAGTTTTTTTTGTTAGTCCTTTTCTAAATGTAATTAGGAAATACGTTCGATCATCATGACTCATAGTTTTTCATGCTGTTACTTGGTTTTCGTGTATTTAAAACTGCAGAGGTACGTAAATGGTGAGTGAATGTGCCATCTGTCCTAACGGGCACCGATCGGTGAGATGTGTCCAGTTGCATCATTGCAATGATGTCATTTAATGATTCCTCGGCTCTGGGTGAAACAAATATGAACCGCTTTGAACATATCCTGCTCCCGCTAATACGGACTGTGTGTTGTAAAACTCAACCCTAATTGCTCCAGGGACTGACTGACCCAGCTCTGTCAATTATAAGCCGCTTTGGATAAAGGCGTCTGCTAAGTAAGCAAACGTAAAACGTAAAAGCGTGTACTGTAAGCAGCCAGCAGGTTAATAAATTGCTATAATGCGGAGTGTCGCTATATGTAATTCCAGCAGTTCAGAAATAATATTTTACTTTCTTAAGAAGGATCTGTACTTCAGTACAGGATTGCTGACAGTAACTGGGGGATTCGCTGAGGAATCCCGTCAACAAGCCGGGGTGGGAAAAGGCGTCTCGTCTGAGCGCAGAAACAGCCAGACGACGCGGCTAAAGCCGTAGAGTAGGGATGGCCAATCTTATCCGCAAAGGGACGGTGTGTATGTTTTTGGGATAACCTGTAGGTTAGCTGTCCAAACCCAGGTATGAGGACTCTTCAGCCAATCAGTCCTCTAATTAGTAATCTAATTAGGGAGTTGCAGCGAAAACCCGCATACACAGCGGCTCTTTGAGGATAAGAATAGCCACCCCTGCCGTAGAAAGTCACACCTCTGAACAGGTACCAGCAAGGACTGACTAGCCCACAAAATCCTCATACTCACTATCTTGAATTTCGCCTGTTGACGGCAAAGTTTGGCTGGCTGTCATTGCCCTGACAGCACTGCTGTAGGCATATATTCCCTTAAGCAAATAATATTTATTTCCCGGCAAAATACAGCGGTTTCTTTTTTTTTACCAATAGCAGCAACTGGAAGATGGTGGGCAGAACTATGTTATTATGTCTATGCCAGCGGTTTGATTAAAAGACCGTGAAAAGCTTAGCCACTGTAGAACCACAAAGGGGAGTGTCACATTTAAGGAACCAAGGGGCGCATGTGACACCATGCAGCTTCAGATTACCAAACTAATCAAAATAAGCGTGACATCACATTTCCACCAATGATATGCTGGGCAAGGAAGGGTGATGTCATCAACAAACAGATCTAGTCATGGCCTCTGGAGATGGTACTGGGATGAAATATTAACACAGCGCTCAAAAACCACACTAAAACCACATCAGCACCATATTGATACCGGCGAAAGGCATCATCAACACAACAAATGAAAAATATCCTGTCAGTGCTGACGGGAATGAAATCTAGGGTTCATATCTCTCGGAAGCAAGCAAATGAAAGGGCACCTGTTCCTAGTGCGGCGAGGGAAGCTATTGTAGACAGTTACCGTTTATCAAATCTCACAAGTGGGATGCTTTGGCCGACAGCGATTACTCCTCAAGCAGGAGCATCTCTTCCCTCAGAGAAATACGCATGTGATTCGACTGGAGCAGATAAATCAAGGGAATTATCCTCCTCGAGTCCATGCCGTCCACTCAGGGCCAGCCCTGGGTCTTCTGATGCCCCTCCCATCCTCCACCCCCCAGAGTAACAGAAAACAAATTTTCAGGTAATTTAGGCTTAAAACTAAGCAAATAATTAATGTGACAGAATTCAACCAGAAGTATTTCGTCTGATTTTTTTCCACTGGATCTTTTGCACCCCCTGATTATATGGCACCCCCATGTGGTGGGGTTGGGAAGATCACCATGACCTTGTACTGGACAAGGGTTTGGGAGATGGATGAATGGATGTGTGGATGGATTTCAAAGACATTGTGTTGATCCATGAGAAGAGCTTTGCAGTAAAATTACAGTAAGTGGGAAGAAGTTAAGAGAAGTTTACACTCCTTCAAAGAGTACATACTGTATGGTGGGGGAGGCAAACACAGGTGATAAATGCACACCCCCTTCAAGTTGAGATCCCCCGCTTTGGTACACGGTAAGCCCGCCGGCTGCCTGTCCTGCCTTCCCCCGCTTTGGTGCACGGTAAGCCCGCCGGCTGCCTGTCCTGCCTTCCCCCGCTTTGGTGCACGGTAAGCCCGCCGGCTGCCTGTCCTGCCTTCCCCCGCTTTGGTACACGGTAAGCCCGCCGACTGCCTGTCCTGCCTGGTACTCAGGCTGCAGCCTTTCCCGTCACACGGTGCCCGTTTGGTTTCCTCCTGTGTGTTTTTCTCTCATGACCAGACCGTTTCCTCTCATTCTCGGTCCTTGCTGCTGCTGCTTCTGTTAAATCCGTCATCGCTCCCGTCCCGTGTCACTCGGTTCTGTCTGTCCCACCCGGCGCGAGTCTCACAAAGGCATTTAGAAAAGAACAACTCACCAGAATCTGCACTGCGATTCAGGTCTTAGAGCCTTAAAAGCATGAAATAATCTGCCGAAATAATAATAAAAAACTAATGAAAATCTTCGGCATAATGTCAAAATTTAATTTCCATAATTTTCCTAAGACTTATTTTCATTGCTTTAACAAAAAAGCGAACCTAAACTCAATATCACATGAAGAGCAGTTAAATGCCAATTACGTACCACGGCGTATTTTCGGCCCTTTTTGTAAAATCCCAGATGGAATGCAAACTGCAGATGGAGAACATAACCTCCACCCCCCGCTGTAAAACCACTTTTTTGTAACATAACCCTAAACGTCCAGAGAAATGAACGTCGAATAAGCTAATTTACTTTGGTCTCTTTGTCTCTTATTGGCTACAAAATCATGTGAAATAGAAGCTAATGCATTGTATTGCTATTTGGGTAGCCTTAACTAGTTAGCGAGACTTCAAAACCTAAGTTGAGCCAAGGTCTGTCCTCCACCCTGGGTTCTGTACTTTATTATTCCAAGGAAGGCGTCCAATTGATCTTAAGGGCATAAACAGATCCATATGAGCAGAGAATACTCGTTCTCATTACATTGTGTGTGAAGGCCACGATCTGAAAGCTTTATAATGCACTTTGCCTGAGTTCACCCTTTACCTAGAACCTGTAAAGCTACTCTTCTTCTAAGAATAAAAGGTTTATTTTTCTATGTACAGCCACTCATTCCGTGCTGAATGCAAAACCAAGATCTGGGCCCATCTAGGACTTCAGGTTGCTCTCTCCAGTTATCAGCGTAACACCAGCATGGATGGGCTAAAGTCCTCCATTTACAAAATGCACCAAGACGCCCTCCAATGTGCCCAAGCCCCAAGTCCCCCAGCGTTGCCATAACAACAGGCCATAACAACATGCCAGCTATCTGTTAGAACCATGGAGAAGTAGGGATTTGGGAACTCTCAGCTCGTCATCCAGATGCCACGGTGATCTGACGACACCAGCCTTGGTCTTTTGACAGGGACGGCGCTGATTTGATAGGGACGACTCTTCAAATATTCTCCCTCTCTCTGTAATAAGGAAACTCGGACAAGAGTTTTTTTCTTCTAGGACGGCCCTAGAATTTATGACTCAATGGGCATTTTTCCTTCGTCGTAACAGAAACAGAATGGAAACAAAACAAAATCAGCCAGATTTCTGACAAGGGAGATTTTATTTTTTTATATTACTGGCATACCAGTGGAGTCTTATTAATCTAATCAATAACAAAGGAAAATGCAAAAAACCCAATACAAAGGTTCTGCTTGTTATTGTTTGTTGTTATCTGAGATATTTACTGAAGCAATTACTGTTAAAGTATTGTTTTTCATACCATTTCAGCTACAGTTACAGAGCAATATAACAACAAATTTTATTAGACGGACTGTCTCATAGCATCATAAAGGTAGAGGTCTTTGTTAGCTGTATGTCAAATCTACGGGGCTTTTTATTTATGTGCCTCATTAAGGCCGTTGTCAGGTTCGCTGGCATTTTTATTTAAATCAATATTGGGGGGTAAAACACAAACCCAGGGCTTGGTTGCTCCGCCAGTGACAGAACACATAGCAGCTAACACCACTAACGGGCATCCAGAAGCTAATTAACACTGGTTTAGTGTTAGTGCCGGTGTTGCTCTTTATTAATGTTCTTATGTTAGTGTCTGGTTTCCATTGTGTAGTGGTTATCACACTCACCTCACATATGAAAAATCCACAGTTTGAAATAGAGTGCGAACTCACTTGTGTATATGGGGTGGTATGTGGCTTAGCAGGTTAGAATGCTGTGCCGGTTGGGGGGGCAGGGTATTAGATCAAATCCCAGGATCAGAGTGATGGCAGTAGTGGGCTCTTGTGCAAGGCCCTTAAACCCCACTCGCCCTGGGGACTGTCCGCATTCTCAAAAATCGTGCATTTCTTTCGGTAAAAACATCTGCTACACTAATGTAAGTCGCATCATCTCTATGGAACTTTCGAGCCGCAGCTCTGTGACGTCCACTGTCGTCAGTGAGCTGCTACTTTTCACGTGGCTTCCCTCCCCAGGGGTTGATGATGCATGAAATTGCTTTTGTTGGAAAGCCTGCCCCCCTCACACTAAGCATTGTGCTCCGAGCCTCCGATACATGCCTGACCTTTAGTAACCTTCCATAAGTCACAAGGGGTCGGAGTTTGGAACCTGTGTATCACAAGGTGGGAGCCATGGGAGGAGCCATTTCTGTTAGAGAAGGTGTCGGAGCTTCTGGCTAATTCTCTGCTAAAATCCTGGCTTTCATCATCCACTCCTCTCCCTCTGGAAGCTCCGTGATTAAATCACCTGTTGCAACATGGGCTGCATCGACCCAGAATTTTATAAATCTAAACAGCAAACTTTTATTACCTACTGAGGTTCTCAGAATCAACAACTTCAAAGGGTAAGTGAAGCCATTTAGAAACAAAAACATTTCGGGAAAGTGCAGTCCTGGTTTTACAAATCAATCTAGAAGTCTGAGAACAGTCTGCATTACCCATCTACTAAACAAATTTAAAAAGGAGTAAAAACCAGATGGACAGCATCTTTTTTGGACCTTTCGAAGATCAAAAGCTAGCAAAGTTACCAAAGTTAGCTGGTTCAGCTAAGTGAGGTCAGGAGTCACGTGTTGTGGTCGAACACGTGCTGAGCGATTTGTGCCAAATCCCAGCCGATCAAAGAGCGGAATGGAACAAACAATAATATACAGTTTGTCATTAAAATTTCATCCCTGGTGAATAATTGTTTGCAGTCCAGTTTTACTTACTGCCAGATGCATGATTTATGAAAGAACTCAGACTCAAATTTTCGCCACTTTATATACAATAGTGTTATACACAAATTAAGCAGTAAACTAAAATATATAAACAACTTTCTAATTTTATTTTAAACATTCAGCCAAGGTGCACAAAGCTGCATTGCTGATACTATCAAACTGGAATGATTAAATCGTATATCCCAGGATGTACAGTGAGATCACCAAATGCAGACCTTCTTGTAATTCCTTGCATAAATAAAAAAGAAGGGCTGGGTGGCTTTGGAACAGCCTGCCAGTGTATATGAGGGATGTCCCCCAGGTCTCAGCATTTAAATCCACCATGAAGACCCTTTACTTCAGCCTAGCCTACCATAAATAAGGTCTGTATGTGCTGTGACTGTTCATTACCTATCAGCATCTGTGTCACCCTCCTCCTCCTTATGCCCAGAAGCCCACGAACAGAAGGTTGCTGGTTCAAATCCCATGGCTGGTAGCGGAGCCAGTTTTAGGCCCTTAACCCTGATTGCTCCATGGGTGACAGACACTGGCTGACCCTATGCTGTGACCTTTATGGGGAACACGATGGGATAGGCGAAGAGAGAACTTCCCCACAGGTTAGTAATAAATCTGACTATTCTATTGCAGCAGACCACACACGCTGCTGGTGAGTACAGGATGGGATACGGTCAGCAGATGGCTGAGGAGAGGGCTGGCCTGCCGGGGGTGTGACAGGCAGGAGCACCATACAAACACACACTACTCTCTGGCCTGTGTGGGCAGCTTGTAACCCCAGAGGGTTTTTTTTCCTCCTATCAAACTATGGAGTTTTGTTTTCCTTTTGGCTCTAATTCACTCTCCATTTACAGCAAGGGTGGGGCACCTGATCCATGGAGGGCCAGTCTGGGTGTGAGTTTTTGGCATGGCCTCTCAATCAGCCAATAATAAAACAGCGGTTCTCATCTCCAGTCCTGGGGACCCACTGTGATTGGCTGATTGAGAGGCCATCCCAAAAATCCTCACCCGTACCGGCCCTCCATGGAACAGACTCTCCACCCCTGCTTTACAGTCTAGTGTGTCTGACTCTGTGAACACTGAATATTGCATAAACTGAAGGGAGACTCTTTAGTGTACAAAGTTATGTGAAAACCTCAATTTAATATACGTGGAAAAACACTATAGTTCAGTCATACCCCTCTCATACTGCAGGTGGAGTAGCGGTGAAGGAGAGCAAATTCTGAATAATAAGACTCTGCTGCCCAAAATGGCCTGGTCTTTTTAGCGGTGAACTGAATAGACACACAGAATCAGCCGGGTGAACGTCCTATGGATGCTTTGGATAAAAGCTGTCACCAAGCAGGTAAAAACCGAAATAGTAATAGCACTAAATAGAAGACAGGGCTTCATTACTAAGTCCCATTATGGAAACCCCTCCCACCTCACCCCCCTGTACTGTGGAAACTGTCGCAACTGGACCAGTGATGGAAGGAATACACTCAGGATAAGCAGGTAAAAGCCTGCCCCATATTATATGATTCAGAAATAATTGACCATTAGAATAAAATCAGCATGCATTTTCCAGGTATTAGTGGGTAATCAACGACTGTTTTCATCGTCCTAAAGTCATTAGCGATAATGTGGTGTGGGTGAGGGCCCTGCATGGGTGAGGCCTTCCCTCCTGGCCTATAGTGGCCGGCCTGGCACTTAACGCCAAAGTCACAGCCCTGCAGAAACGGGGGGTAATTTGCTTTCTAGCGCGGAGCTACAGAACATTGTGTGCTGGGGTCTTTAAAGGCTGCCTTTGAGTGGTTTAGTGAGCAGGGGTGCAGGGCCAGAGCGGGAGACCCCTCGCCCGGGCTCGTTAAGCAGCGGCATCGAAAAGCCGGCCATGTTCCAAGAAGGAGCCACAACAAGCCGAAGTACAAACAAGTATCACGACTTGAGGCTCTTTAGCAGCAGGGTGAGGCCTAATTAGGCTAACCACTGCCCACGGGAGGAACGACATGGTGTTTCGACCAGATTCAAAGAGCAGCACTGATCTGAAATCCAGCAAGACGGTGATTCTACTGTGAAGTGTTGGAGTGGTTGGTTGCACGTTTGCATGCAGGGTACTGGGAATGAAAACAATGTTGTTTGCGATCGTAAAAACACCAGGCTATTCCAAGTGGCAGGGATGAAAAATCCTAAAAGTAGGTAGAGATTGTAATGGCTGTTTACTGCATCTTTCACACCCAGCTTCAGGAGCACCTACTGAGGGCATCTCCTGAGGGCATCTCCTGAGGGCATCTCCTGAGGGCGCCTCACTTACAGCCAACGGAAAGTCAAGGGAAGCCCAAAAACACAATAATAATATTTAGGTCTACAGAACAATGGATGGTGGTCACCACCAACATCAACCCATGAGAACTTCCACCTAATGAAATCAGAGGACAGAGGTAGGGTAGGGCCAAGACAAGCCTCTTCATCAAAGAGCCTAAAACTACCAGCTTCCTGTCAGTTATTAATTGGAAACCTTCCATGATTCATCAAAAGACCCTTTTAGGCCAAGACTAAAATGTTAAAGTACTCCAAGAAAAATTACAGAAGACTAATGCCCAATTTACCTAGAATTAGAACCTGGAATTATAAATGCTAAACAATGGCTGGTGTATAGGCATTTACAGATTTACTTCTATAAATTATCCCACGGTAGTTCCTGCCCTGTCAATTCTTCATCCATTGGAACGATTCCTGAGGAATGATGGCCGACCTCATCCCCACCATCCTGGCTGCATGGCGGAGGCCCGGTGGTGTGGAATTTTCCATTCTTCCCCGTAATGCTTCAGCAAAGAACAATAACAGGACGATCGGAGGAACACCGCAGTAAGTGTGGAAGATGCCACCCGTGAGTGTCTGTGTTTCCGAGTTTTATCGAATGTCCCTTAATTACAAGGTTTACAAGACACATCCTGTATGCTCTTTAATTCAAAAGAAGGTGCGGAAGAAACTGCTGAAAGACAAGCAAAATAAGAGCCCAGTGTTTATGACCATCGCAGGACCTTCTTGAGACAGTTTCCTGTGTGGCTTTTCGGACTAAACTTTCCCCACGTTAAGTTTTCTATGCCTAAAAACTAAATCTCCTTGACTCACTCCTCGAGTGCAGAGCGACATCCTCACAGGTGCTGCACAGAGCACATTGTTTACAAACAAAGCAACATGCTTCGGCTCAGGAAGACGGCAGCTCTGCCAGTCAGGCAGCGTGCGAGCGGCCGATACGAGCGGCCAGTACAGAGACACGCTGTACTTACCATGAAGCTGAGCAGCCGGCGGAGAGGGGATGGAGTTACGGGACGATGGGCGTCCTTTGTAGCGACCGGGGGCTCGCTGGCGGGCGGACGGGACGCGTGGTCACCGGGCAAAGGCGCTGCTATTCTGGGCGCTCCCCAGGAATACTCACCAATCATCTGAACGCTGCCTGACTCTGCAAAACCAGGGTCTGTGACTCCCAGGCTGCCCCCCGGGAGGTGGCTCGGGGTAGGGGGGGCGGGGAAAGCAACGTGGGCCCAAGGGGAGAACCAAGATGAAGCCCCCCCCCCCCCCCCGCCGCTATCCTACTCACACACTGCCAGGCCCCCTGCCACCCCCGACCACAAAAAAACCTTGCATTGCCAGTGTTGACAGATCCTTCAAATCCCCCCATTTTCCAGAGAGGGAAGGCGGGGGGGGGGGCAGTCAGGGTCTCTGCCAGCATCGGGGCTGTTTATGTTCAATTTCCATTGAACAAAAGAGAACAGAAATTCATCCTCAGGCCATTTCTGACCAAGGTAAGGGAAACAGTACCAACCATTAATGGGACTCGACCAGCGCCACACAAGCTCATTAATTAGTGACATTTTACACCACCAAGGACCTTGAGATGATTTTAACCAGTGAGAATGGTTTCCAGTACATTCCCTGCTGTTTACTTCACAAACTCTTCTCCGTCATATGATAGCAGCGATGCGGTTCACGCTCCAGATGGAACAAAGTTTTCAGAAACCCACGGCAAAAAAAGTCTCATAATCTCTCATGAAAACATCTATGCTAACAGAAATTAAATCAGCCACAATAAACATCAGAACACACACAGCGACATCAGCGAACATGTGACAGGTCAGCTCAGCTGAGGAAAATATCCATCCATTCATCGTCCAATCACTTACCCCGGTAGGGTCACATGAGGACCAAAGAGCCAATCCCAGGCAGCACAGACCACAAGGCTGGGGTACACCCTGGATGGGTTGCCAGTTTGAGCAGAGCAGATTTTACAAAATTAACTGAAGCAACAAAATGTAATAATTTTATGACTTTTCTGTGGTTTGGCCTCCACTGGTGTATTTTAGAACATAAAAGGACTGAGAGGGGATTTCTGAGCTGAGGCTGGGTGACGGCACGTGTGGGACATTCGATATGACGATTCCACAGCTGTGGAATTTAACACTGTCAGCTTCCTACCCCCTGACATTTTCTTTTTCTACTTAAAGAGCAGTAACAGTAAGACACTGAATCCATTTTCCCCGCACGTTGGGGGGGTAAAAACATACCTGTCTATATTTAAGCTCACAGAGTTCAGAATAAATCTTTCCATAGCTATTTGTTGTTCGTTCAGAGTCCTGGGCAGATGCTCCTGGATCAGGGCCGATGTTGTTAACTTTCATGTGTTCCCATTGCGGACAAAGGGAGAAAACAAGCTTTATATCTTGTCTGCACACCTGTCACCAAAGGAATTTGCATTCAGCTACTGTAATTCCAAATCGCAGCACTGACCTGAGCCAGCGGATGGCCTTGTGCCAGACGGACAGCTGGAGGCCCAGAGCCCACGGGCGATGGCCACCGCAGCAACCCGGCCGGACTGACGACAACAGCACCGGTGGGGGAGCAGGACAAAGAGACGCGTGGGGCATGCCAGCGACCCGGGCAGCACCTTTGATTTCGGGACTATTTTCAGATGCGGCACAGGGCCGGGTGCTCTGTGATCCCAGGATCCGGTTCCGTAAGGGGAACGAGATCCTGTCCCTGGGGTTACCTTAAAGCTGCAGAGGTTTTAGTAGTTAAGGGAGCAGACTCTATCAATACATACATCCATCCATGCACCCACTGTCATCCATCTTACTACACATCAATCCATCCATACATCCACTCACACATCCATATAGCCATCTACCTATAAATCCATCCACCCACCCACATAATCATCTATCTATCCATCCCTACACCCACCCACATAGCCATCTATCTTTCTACACATCCATCTATCCATACACCCACATCCTTTTACCCATATCATCTCCATATCCATCCATGCACGTAGTCTTCTGTCTACCCACATAGCCATCTATTATCCATCTACCTACCCACCCATATTACTCTATACATCCATCCATCCATCCATCCACACACCCATAGCATCTATCCACACATGCATCTGCTTACCCAGTAGTCACCATAGTGAATATGTGATCATTTCCATTTCCAAACTGTCTTGTAAATATATTATTTTACATTAATACGTTATTTCATTACATTACATAAAAAAGTATCAAAAATCATATGTCCATTTTTGATCAGTGAAATGTGTGTGAAGTGTCTGATCATGTCCCGGCACAAATTCTTCAGACATGTAAATGTGATTCTGATCAAAAAGTAAATAAAATCATACATCAACCAGCCGATAAACATCAGGGTTCCCCGATTCTGGTCCTGCAGATTTCCCTGCTCAGACACACCCTATTTAATTCAACAGCTAATTGCCAAGTTTAGTAGGTGTGTTTGGGTCACATGAAGCTGCACGACCATGTAAACTCCACACGCGGAGCAGAGGCAGAAGTCAAACTCCAAACCAGGGAGGGGTGACACCACAGTGATAATCACAAAGGTATTAAAAATGCCTCCCTCATATAAACATACTGTATTTCTACTGCTATGAGTAACTGGTACCCGATAAGACGGCAGCTAAGCATAGCCTTAAGGAAGAACATTTGTTCTGAATAGCTTTTAAAACCAACAAAAAATCTCTGATTTCTCCTTGGCCCATGGGCACAAAACTATTTCAAATATCAAATAATGAAACTAAAATACAGCTCATATAATCCTGCGGCCGGATGAGAAGAATATTTAAGACGCAGGCTGACTTTCTCCCGATTCACAGAGCAGCAACCAGACAGGAGAAGAACAAGTTTAATATATATGCCATTTTCCCAAAAATTACAGAATTCCCAACATACCACAGTGCATAATAGAAAAGAAGATTGGAAACTGAAAATGGTAAAATGTACAAACAGGCAATTTATTTTAATTAAATAAATGGATAACTTAATTTAAACAACCTGAAAGCACAATCAAATTGTACTTTCTAAAGTAGTTTTAAAAAAAAAAACCCTGAAATCCTGAGTAATCTATTACTCTAATTGGCTTTGGTACGTCTAATTACGTCTGTGGAACATCTAACAGTGTAAACAATCAATGGAAAACCTCAGATGATAAAAAGTTACATCTCCAGTTGTGCAAGACGCTCCACGGCCAAGCCAGAGATGATTATATAATATTGATTAAGCGGATATCGTTGTTTTTGTTGTTATTCTCCGTAACAGGTGGATATTTTCATAACAACCGCGGAGTATTCGGAACATCAGAGGAGCCCGATATAGATACTTAGGTGGAAACCGGATCGGCTAATACGCAGAAAAGGACGCTTACGGATACACTACTAAAAAGAAACATCGGCAAAGCTTTTATTGTTAAGCTTCTTGAGCGGACACATCCGGAAGAGCGTCAGAAGGCTGGATTGGCACGCTCGTTAATTTCTCAGAGGGGATGGTTACGGCGAGCGGAAGGTCAGGTCGTGGATTATTGGACCACGGCAGGGCTGTGCTTGATCAGGGAGTCACATTTGCATTCCCATACCTCAGACATGCACATGTACACACACACACACACACACACACACACACACACACACACACATCTTGAGATCAAATATTTGAATGCATTGACTATTCACTAGATACACAAACTGTATATAGAAAGTATTTATAATTTTGCATGAGCTGTACAGTGTAAGGCGCTTGCATGTGATCTGTCTATATCTCTTTGCAAATTTGCAAAAGCTGCAGGGTGATGCTATATCACCGGCACTTAGGCTACATCGAGGGGAAAAAAAAAATAAAGTATGGCGTTTAGAGAGTGAGGATGGAGGCGGAGTCTTCACCGGGGCGTGAAGGGAAGGAGGCAGGCCAGAAAGGAAGGGGAAAGGACAGCTAGGAGTACAAAAGTGGGTGCGGGGGTTTGGTGCTGGAGGCGTGAGGGTGGAGCCTGCGGCCTGACAGCCAAAAGTACCCCCCTCCCAAAAAGTAATAAGGAGAGTAAAGATTAAAAAAAAACACCATCGATGCAGCATCTGTCAGCTATCAAAGTAGTGTTTAAGGTCCCCGGTGGATGGTGCTGCTCCCCTCCACGCCCCTGCAGGCAGGACCTGCACAGTCCCATTCTGCTTTACCAGGAGTCCCAGCTGAAGCTGTCCCCGCCAAATATGAAGAAGAAGCCCATGATGGTGGCGAAGATGACGACGTTCCCAGCCATGACCAAGCCACAGGCCCCCCACTTGATCTGCCGGGGGGAGACATGGGGGAGCTGATCAGGACAAGGTGCAAAAAGGAGTTACCATTTTACAGTCAATCGACTCCTGGCTCCCATGCAAATTCCAACAATTACAGCGCGACAAAATTGTCTTTGAAAACCAAATCTGAACACAATGGATCAAATCGTACAGAATAAATGGAACATTCCTGAATACAACTGAACACTGCATTAAGACTTTGGCTCGAAGTCCCAGGACGGATAAGGTAAGCAGGTTTTACAGAACAAGGAAAATGGCGGAAAGCAGAGGTAATGGGAAGGCAGACGGATTCAGGGGTCCTCCGTGCCCTGACTCGCGGTTCATTTACCGCTTACGTTTGGGTGGAGTTACGAAACAGCCATCTCATGTCATACGTCTGCTGGGAGCATCAGGCAGTACGTTTCATAATAAGTCAACAGGGATCTGAGGCATGAGACAACTTAGACACTGTGACAGAATCTTCCAACACATGGAATTCTACAGGAGATGTGGAGATAGAGAGGTAGCTGGATAGGGACCGGAACACCATCTCAGGAGATACTCCAGAACATCTCCAAAGCTAAAATCAGGTTTCTAGACCATAAGGTGAAAGTCATGTCTCCCCTCAGCAATAAAATAGTAGGCAAAAGATTACCTCTCAAAAAGACGTGCGGTAACTGACATTGACCTCACTCCAGAGAGGAATGGAAACCAGTGGTGGTCGAGTTACACAACCAGCAGATCTGCTGCTGGAACCAGGAAACGAGCGGGCAGGCTTCCCATAGCGATGTACATAACAAGCAGTGGATTGGACACAACTAAGCCTCCGGGGATTTCATTGGCCAATTAATTCCAGGGGACACACCCACATTCAGCCAGAGCTTTCTAAACATCGGGGCGAATGAGGCTAGCAATCATTTCCTGGCAACTAAAAAGCAAACTAATCTTTCTGTAAACTGGAGAAAAGAGAAGTCGGCTGCACATTTGTCCTGAGACAACCTCGTCTGAGTTCCATCTGCAGATAAGGGCAGCTAATCTTTTTCCAGAGTAAACCGGGGATTATTCATACACACTGCGCACCAAATTAAACGCAAAAGATCAATAAAATGAGGCATGTGCTGCTGAGAATGTCCAGTAACACAGGCATTTATGCAGAGGCTGCCAAAGACCCAGAAGACGGACTGCTCCACTAAATCCCTCCGAGACCCGTCCTGCAGAGGAGCGAGAAGCGGGATGGAACGTTTCACTGAAAAGTTCCCCCCGTGCAGCTTGATGTCGGAAGCTGACGGCATCACGGAGACGGCCCACTATGGACGCTCCGCGTACGTGCAGACCGCTGCGTCACCTGCCGACTTATTTGAAGAACAGGAAGGACCCGAAAGGCTGTTTACACGGCCGTGCCTTCAAGTCAAACTGTAACAGGAACCTCCTGCTGCATTTTCATCCTAAAACTCTGGCACTGATGGGCACTATGGGGAATCAAGGTAAGCGTTGGTCACGGTGCAAGAACACAAGCAGGGCTGCATGATATATCGTTTACGCCATCTTTGTGACGTACGCATATGCACTGATCACTTTACATTTGTCAGCATTGCTTTGTATCCGCTGACAACTAACGGCAACGCCGTAAACTTTTCGGACGTGCTGTCTTCGTAGATAAGTTCTATTTAGCTATCGTTTTTTTCTAGTAATTTCATCTCTTTTTTGTTTTAGAAATATTGCAATATTACTTGTGGAAATCTCACGTCCTGAGATGTGATGTCACACAGCTCATAACACAAGCTAACATCTCTCTTCTCGGATGCTCGCATCAGACATGTTGGAGGACAGGGTGTCAATATAGACCCTCGACCGAGGCTGGAACCCTGCTGGGGGTGTAGAACTAGAGACCTGGGTGCTGTGTGGAGAATCTCAGTGGGTCGGGGTGGGGGGCAGCAGGGTGTGTTTATTGTGTTTGAGGCCCCATTCAGAAAGTCACTTCAGGGCCCCCCTATCCCCTTTACTGTAGTTACTGTTTTTGGCCAACAGGGGGCCCCCAAACCTTGGGCATGACTTGAGTGGCAGTAAACATCGCTGCTGTGACACACGCCCACACGGACCCATCCACACCAGCTGAGATCCGGGTCATCCCACCCGGAGCAGAGGGGCACTCACCACGGTGGCTCGGGCCAGAACCACCGGCAGGCCGAAGGAGGACACCACGATGCCCGTGGCGAAGAAGAAGGCCAGCTCCCTGCAGGCACTGCTGGAGGAGTCGCCGTCCTCCCCGAGCCGTCTGACGATGAGCAGGGGGATGGGCGTCAGGACGTAGAAGATCAGGACGAACAGCGGCCAGTACACTCTGTGGCGGGAGGGGGGTGGGCGCAGAACAGAATATCATGGACAGCAAACCAACAACATAGCAGCAAGTCTGTTCAACAAAACGCCCAGTCACTGTGGGTCTCCCCAGGGGCGGCACTGGGGGTGTTTAAGGGAGGCTTTACCCCCCAAATAAATACATACCAGTTTAAACAGTGTGTTCTCAATCATTTCATTAACATCAGAGCATCCCATCCCCAGTAAAGGCTAACCCCCCTCACACGGCAACCATGCATGGAATGCTCTCCTTACATCTCGCACCAACAGGCTCAGGAACTGCATTTCCCACAATGCCTTCACCGTGCTTCACTCTCAACCCTGCATTAGCCCCCCCCCCCCCAAACCACTGACCTGAATTCTTATA